CAAGAACATTCCAGCTTCTATCTGTTGGAAGCCGAAAGCAAAATCACCAGATGGAGATTTCCAGAAATCATTTTGATTGAGTGCTGCAGTTAATGAGGAGCCCAAGGTTATATTCTTATATGTTTGAGCTAGGACAGAGAGTGGCAGCAGACATAGTAGGATGAGATAGAGAGAATTAGGATAAGCAGAAGCCATGAATGCAGGTTCTACTTTTTCTGAAGGTCTGATATGGGTTATAGAAGTTGAACACCTTTATAAGAAATAAACTTTCAATGAAGCGTGAGAATCACTTCCACCACATATGCTTAAAAAATTGAGGTCTTGCTGCAGGTAACCAGTCCCTTTGTTTTCTACCTTTGTAAAATTTTCAATGATTCTTCATCATTGACTTCAATTTGATTTAGGAAATAAATTTATGTATAATTCAAGAATTTTCTTTTTAAGTTAAAGGTGGGATTCAAACCTTATATCATTAAATTTTAATATTAAATATTTTTTATAAAGATAAAATGACTATTAAATCAGAAACATTCCGCGCAATCAGGAAAAGGTATAACTCCAATTTTTGCTTGTTCACTTGACCATTAAACTAAGTAGTATCAAGTATGTATTTGTTGTTTGGTAGACTTTGACATCCGTGTAACTTTCGGTGGCTTTCTACTTTACATCATGATAATATTAAAAATTCTATGTTTCTCTGGCACTTGGTTGGCCTTTACTCTTCACATTACCTAACATGGACTTTGACTTGTTCAACGCTGCCATGCTGCAGTTCCTCCTAAAAACAAACACCAAAGACAATATTTATGGCATTGGAAGATATTTCTTAGTTTCTACATTTGATGGTACTTTTCTCTTTTTTGAGGTAGAGTACGGTAGGAGAAGAGACTAGAGGTTGGGATTTGAAAACTCACATCAATTCTGTCAAATATAGAGAAGTCCTGCACAGGACTTCTCTATCAACAGAGCGTGATACTTTTATGGATTTAAAACGAAAGTACGAACTAGGATTGGGGGAAGAAGAGGAACTTCAACAGATCCTTCGAGAATTTGTGAGTCTCCTTATAATGTGGGTGTTTGGTACAACTGGGAAGGTGCAATTAGTCTTTTTAACCCCGAAACTAATTTGTGCATGTAAATATAGTCACTTATTGTCTTCGCTTGCAGAGTCAACTAAATGTAACTTTGCATATTTTTCTTCTAAATCATAACCCTAGTCGTAGGAAAAGAAGTAGGCTATGGAGAAATTCAGGTGCACAAAAAAAAAATTAAGTGGACTCGACCAAAGACTTTGAATCTTTAGTCCCCAAATGTTAAATTATTCTTGATAATTGATTTATTTGTTCGTAAAGATAGAACACGGTCACTACGTCACGCTTTATTTATTAATGTGGTTCAGATGCGTTGCATGTGCCGACATTGTTTTCTTAGAGATGAGAGAATTCAAGAGGGAACAGATAGATTGTTTAAGTAGTGCATTTCAAAAAGGGTGTGAACTGTGAGATTTTTCTTGCCAAAATGTTGATTATGTCGTTGACGAAAAAAATGAACTGCAAATCGTTTCGTAGAACAAGCCCGTAGCATTGTCTTTAGACGTGCAGAGACTGTTTTCTGGAAGATGGAAGAATGGATTGTTCAAGTCTTGAATTCCATAAATGGCGTTGATAGATTTAAATTTTATAGATATCATTCATCTCTCAAAATAACTATCATTTTTTATTTTTTTTTTTAAATTAAAAAATTTAGGATAATTTATACATTTATTTATATTATTTTTTACAAAAAGTTATAAATAAAATAAAATTTTCTATAATAAAATAACTAATTAAAATAAATAGATAACAATATGGTTAAAGTGAAAAAAAAAATTGTCAACTCTATAAAATAAAAAACTATAATTAATTTTTGATAAACTTAAATTTAAATAATGACAGTTATTTTTAAATAAAAGGAGTAGTATGGAATTTTCACCTTAATATTATTACTAATTAGATAAGTTTTAATATTTTATAAAATTTTACTTAATTTTATATAATTTTATCCTTTATGATAAAAAGACTTAATTTGAAGAAATCATAATTTTTTAAACTAAAATAATTAAAGATACTGGGCACCTGAGAGTCAACGTGTCAACTGGATAGAAGATCAGGGACCAGAACAGTTTTACCAATGAAGAACCAAAATTGCATTTTGGCCCAAATTCCCGACACGGACCTTGTTTTTCAGTGCATTGGTGAAGGTGTCGGTACATTGTTTTGGGGTATCGACCCCTTACGCAAATTTCCATCAAGCCCGGCTAAACTCGGTATTTTGGCGCGGGTGTCACTTGGCTCACGTCAATTGCAATTAAATTTTTTAAAATTTTATAATTACTCGTTTAAGGTCAGAATTGAGAAGCTTTGGGTGGCTTTTGATAGTCTCTTAGAGACTAAATTAGAGGTGGGAATTTATCAATAGTAAAAAAATTTAATAAATTAATATTTTTAA